AAGAGATGCAATATTGTAGTTGACTTTTTGGAGAAGAGAATATAACAGATTAGTAGTACAGAGGTTCCCCTTTGGTTCCCAGTTGCCGGTATGTATGTATGTAAGGCCTTCCCTGAATGGGGTTTGCACAATTTTTCTTCTGTATGTTAAACATGGATAAGGCAATCAACCTGCGTACCAACAAGCTGATAGCTGCAGCTGGCTCTGCATCCGGGGCCATTGTATGGGCGCGCCCTGCGGACCGCAGCAGGCCAGATGGAAACTGGGTGGCCAGCAAGTACTATGCTTCCACAGTCGACCCAGACAAGATCAAACCGTCAGATGCCAGCGATGCCACTACTGAGCTGCTGCTCTACCGGTACACCAACCACTTCCTGGAGGACGGTGCCACACCTCATGTGTGCCAGATGTTTGAGCATCTTCGTCACCCCAACGCAAAGGCCAACCTGGCCAACGCGAATGTGCTCAACATGGTTCAGAAGAAGAGTAGACAGGCCGCTGCCGCGATACGGTCTGGCAAAGAGTACATGATCCTGATCTGGCAATCAGCTTGGCCGACGCGCTGTTCTCAAGCGATGGCAGCCCTGCATTGCTGAGCGAGAGGCAGCTTGCCATGGTCATCTTCCAGGTCCTTTACACCATTGAGTGCATGACAAGAACCGGCATCATGCATCTCGACCTCCACTTGGGCAACGTCATGCTGTATCCGGAGCCTGCTGATGATTCCAAGGTACGCGCTTACGAGTATGTGAGCTGGGACCTTCGCAGGTACGTCTTTTACGTGCCGTACTACGGTTGGCTTCCAAAGATCTTTGATTTTGACCATGGCGTGAAGCATGCCTGTCCCAACAACACGGCAATGCACCTCGGCCGTTTGAAGCCACACTATGCGGCCGGTGTCGCGAACCGTTTCCTCATGGACGTCGGGCTTTCTTATATATTCGAACCCTTTTGCAGGGGGTTGGACGCGCGTGTAGACGCACACAAGTTCCTTCTCCACCTCTTGACGATGTCAGGTGTCCCAAGGCAGACAAGGAGGGGAACGTTTGTGGTCCATGATCCCTACGAGTGGGGCCGCTCACCCACTGGCTTCTCTCCGGTGAGAAAGTGGGTCCAAATCGCAAAGCTGCTGAAAAGGTGGACAAGTTTTGATTCCTTCAATGCGTGCTCCGAACAGACTTTCAACCTTGCAAGTGCTGTTCCGCAGCAGGTTGCAACAGACTTCCAAAGAGACCCGAGGCGTTCCCAGACGTTTGATGCTCAGATCCACACCACATATTCATCATGCTTCCACTACAACTACCCCATCTCGTTGTCTGACGAGGTTGACCCGTCAGCGTTGAGGCTAAAGTGTGTGTTTCCAAAATCCAGCAAGATCGACCTTTCCCAGGCAGGTGCGGGGAGCGCAAACGACGTTCTCCAAGAGTATGCAGAGTATAACATCGTCGATACGATCGATCTCGCAGGGCGCACCGTAGTAGAGGCGTGCAGCATACAGAGGCTCTTTGAGGCCCCCGCAAGCCCACTCCCTGGCCCTGGCAAGGTCTGCCCTCAGCCAAACCTCGCAGGCCCCCCGTTGCAGATGAACATCAGAAACGCTCAGGTGCGGTCCAACAACAATGGGGTGACAGATATGGATGTGGACGAACCGGACCCTGTTGTACCGCAGCTTAACCCGGACGCAGGGGAGCAAAACGAGGCAATCCCCATGACTATTGTGTAATAGACCACACGTACTGGCTATGCATCCGCGACGTAAGGGTGTTATTCTTCCTACTCGCGCGAAAGGAAGACAATGATTGGCCCGTCGTGCGATAATTACACGCGTCGATCCGCAATCAACAGGGTTTGAGGGTTTAGAGGACTTTTGATCTCGGCCGTCGATTTCTTATCGTGTCAGTAGCCAATCGCGTTAAAAAACCTATCCGCTTGAACCGTAGTGTGCTGCCTAGTACGTCCCAGCTCTTGCATAATCTTTCCCGCATCCGCGGCTAAAGTACGGTTAAAGCGAGGCAACCCAAGTGAGGCCACGGTATCTTCATAATGAGTCGGGACGAAAGGTTGATCAAGGCGTTGGAGGATCTTCAAAAGCGGCAGGACGCAAGAAGGAATGAGCGGAAAGACTTGAGGGCGAGCCTGACCCAGTTTTTGAACATCTTTTTGGGTGTTGCGGGCATCATCTTTGGTGCACTTGCCCAGTCTTCAAGGTTGACATGCCAGCATGTCTGGATACCTAGCGTGCTGCTGACTCTGGCAGGCGGAGTGACTTCAGCAGGGGTCTGGAGCAGGTTGGAACGAATCCGTGAGCTAGAAAAGAGGATAGGCATCCGGGAGGAAGAAATCAGCAATGTTACGTTACAGGTCCAAGAGATAAAGCTGGGTCTGCCTCCTCGTGACCACATTCTACAGATAGCGCCTGACAAGAGCCACTGGATCTCGAGTACTCCGGAAAGGGGTCCCTTTGCCTGCATTGTGCTCACTTACATATTCTTGATTGCTGCCAGCATCCACGTTCTATGTTTATGAGGAAGTTATAGGCTTGGATAAGGCATGTTTACTGTGTCAGCCAACCATGACAAGTTTGTTCAAGAAGCCGGGGACTACAGTCACAGCTCACTACAAGAATGAGCTGGACCGTCCAATTCTCATATGTGGTCCTAGAGATGGAAGAGTGGGGGAGACAAAAGACTTTGTCGGCTTGGGGGAAATTGAGAGCGGCCAGGCCCACACATTTCGATGTACAATTCCAAAGGACTGGTACACTCATCTGTTACGGTCACCAGAGGTTCCGGACTACTTTGCAACAAAAGTATGCGGTGAATGGAAAGTTTTTCACGTTGCCCATCGTGAAGAAGTTGCATCCTGGGACACTGTGGTAACTTGGGAAAAAAATGGGACAACGTCACATGATGTAGTAGTCATAAAGCATCCACATCAAGAGTGGAAAGTTAATGTTAGAGAAGCAAATCTAGTAAGTATCTTGTTGATTGATGTTGATTCTCTAGGTAGTCCTTTGACATTTCAATTCAGACCATGATCGAGTCCTTCTCCATGCACCCATTTTGCCCCATACAAGCCACTTTTTTGAAGTTCGTCCAATCAAGCCACCTTAGCATGCCGTTTTAGCATGCCATATCCCACAGACCAGCTTTCACTGCTAGTGTAGCATGACGCGCTCTGTATGTGGCGTCATGCCAGCCAACATACAACTCTGATTATTCAGAGCGCATCATGGAAACGCATAGTGACTTTATCTAAAGAAAGCGGTATTGAGGATACATCATCAGTACGATCAGTCAAAATCTGCGGAGCACGTCATGAGAGCAAGTTCACAATGACCCTATTAGAGAGAACGTTATGGAAGATGCTAAATAATCTTATCTGCAGCCTGATGCATCACAAGAGCGAGTCATGAGCCAAGGTGCAGGCATATTTGGTGTGAGTACCTGTTTGTTGTGCATGTTCCCCGCTTTTCATCCTGACACATGCTCTGCAAAGATTGTTGTGTGCATGCATCATATTCACCAGTTCTTAGTAGGGAGATTGGTGATGCTTCTCAAGCCCAGCTCTATAATGAAGCACATATGACACAGCAAGTAGCCAGTGTAGTTTACAAATGAAGGCAAACCACCAAAGCATTCATTGCTTATGCATGTCATGATATTGCTCACATGCGGCTCGAGGAGATTCGATCTGCTGCCGCATTAATGCCGCTCTGTTGAATAATTCCACACATGTGGTCTCTACATGCTAACTGACTTGCCAGCATCGGTTGGATCATCCAAATCTTTTTGAATGCCAAAGCATACTCTGTATGGCAGTAGGGGATTTCAATATCAAAAAGTTTGATCTGAACAAGATCAAGGACCATAAGTCCATCGTTATCATCGGTCGCAGAGGTACGGGGAAGACGACATTGATCACCGATATCCTATATCGCAAGCGCGATTTACCAGCAGGGCTCGTGATGTCAGGCACGGAGGACGGGAACAGCTACTATCGACAATTCATTCCCGACACTTTTATCTATGGAGCATATGACGAAGATGTCATTTGTAAGCTCATTGCCCGCCAAAAGAATATGAAACGCTTGAATGCTAAGCACTCGGAGTGCTTCCTTCTCCTCGACGATTGCCTTTTCAACCCCAAGATACTAAAGGGTGATACAATGCGCTTCCTGTTCATGAATGGGAGGCACTTCAACATCACGCTCATCCTTGCGGCACAATGGGTGATGGACATCCCCCCAGCAATCCGTGCCAACAGTGACTACGTGTTTGTTTTCAATGACCCAATCGTGAACAACCGCAAGCGCTTCTTTGAGCACTACTTTGGGGTCTTTAGATCGTTTCAGCAATTTGAGGCTGTCTACAAGGCATGCACTTCAGACTTTGAGTGCATGGTTCTGGACAACACTTTGCAATCTTCCAACCCGGAGGACTGCATCTTCTGGTACAAGGCGCAGATCCACAAGCCCTTCAAGCTCGGTGCGCCAGAATACTGGTCCTTCCACAAAAAGTGCTACGGTCAGGAGGATAACAAGTCCTCCATCACTGAGGTGAACGGAGTGAGAATCCGAAAGTCAAAGTAGTACGTCAAGCTGTCAACTCACCAATGTCGGGCAAGTACATTGTCTGCTTGTTGCTGAACACGGGCAGCGTTCCGTGATTCGTGATGCGGATCAAGGCCTGCCTAGCAGCCTCTTGCTCGGCCGCTTTCTTCTTCAAGTCGGATCCTGTGCCCATGAAGGAACCTCCAATGCTTACATTCACATGAAACACCCTCATGTGGTCCGGCCCACAGGCAGCAATCACCTGATACTGCGGCATGAAGTCTGATTGGGCTCGGCTGATACCATCTGAAGCCACCGCATTGCTCCAGACCGCTTGCATGTGCCGCATGAGAACGTCCTTGAAGTTGCAATCCTTCTCAACCTCATCAAAGTCCTTTTGGTCGAGCATAGGGTACACAAAGTCTCTGCACGCTGCAATACCTTGATCAACAAACAGGGCTCCCAGGAATGCCTCGAATGTGTCCTCGAGCTTGCTCGGATTCAGGTACCACTCCTGGTCCATGGCCTTCCGGTTCATCATGATGTGGTTCTGGAGACCCAGCTGCAAAGCCCAAGCGGACAGGGCGGCCCCACAGACCAACTTGGTTCGTATTCGGGTGATGAAGCCCTCGTCGCACAGAGGGTATCGGTCGTAGATATACTTTGTCACCACCAGGCTAAGCACAGAGTCACCCATGAGTTCAAGCCGTTCGTTTGAACCATGAGTGGCTTTGTATTCCTTTAAGGTGCTCTTGTGGGTGAAAGCCGTTATGTACTCGTCCAGATCGGAGATGCGCAGCGGGGGTGCGTCGGGGTTCCGAAACTTGTTCAGGATTGCCTCAACGTTTGCCCGGTTGATTCCCCGCTCTGCTGCCAGCTCGCGGATGTCCCGTTTGGCCTCGCTCGTCATCCTGTACTCTTACCAAGTAAAAAGTGGCAGGTGCCAAACGAAGGTTCCTTCTTTACATGACCCGCACCAGATGCTGCAGGGTGTCGAACGTGGGTTTCGGGCGACGGCTGGCAGAGTATGTACCGTTACACCAGAATGTGCCCCCCTCCCCTCGCATGCAGTCAAACAGCCTTGCGTCAATTGCCTTGATGTACTTTCTCGGGGGCCCGTTCTCATTCCTTGCATCCTTTGGTGAAAGGTGACTGACAGTCAGGCCTGTGGCTGTTGGGATATTGCTCTTCACTTGAGGTGCAGGCTGTGCAGCTGGAAGCACCTTCAGTACATTGACGCTGTTTAGAGACCCTGTGACGGTTGAATGAGGCGCCCTGACTGGCTGATTAGGAATATTCATGCCTGCTGGAACAGGCCGGGCATTTGCAACGGGCGTTTGATGGCTTGGAGGCTTTGGTACGGCTTTAGCAGGTGCAGCAAGTTGAGGGCCTGGGATGGGTCGTGGTGGCGCAGGTTGTGCAGCTTTCTGAATTGCAAGAGCGGTGACTGGCCTCTGCGTCGCCGCTGGGGTTCGAGGCACAGAAAAAGCACCCCTTGGTGGCGGGGCCGGCCTCTGACCTAGAGGAGGGGTTTTAGCCTGTGGAGGAATTGTGGCAGCGCTTCGGGCTGAAGGACGGAGCTGTGCAGATTTCGGGGCGGGCTTTTGGAGCTGAGGAGGGAGCTTCGACAATGGCGCAGGCTTTGGAATGGTTTTCTGAGCTGGTTGGGAAGGTTTTGCAACGGCTCTCTGGATTGGAGGAGGAGGCGCAGCTTTTGGGGGCAGCTTCGATGCTGCTGACGGTGGCTTTGCAGCAAGACCTATAGGAGGAGGCTTCGCAAAAGGCTTTGGAGGAGGTTTCGCAATGGGCTTCGGAAGCGGGGCGGGACGCGGTAGTGGAGCAGTCTTCCCAATTGGCTTCGGAGGTGGGGGCTTCGCAATGGGCTTTGGAGGCGGGGGCTTCGCAATGGGCTTCGGAGGTGGGGGCTTTGCAATGGGCTTTGGAGGCGGGGGCTTTGCAATGGGCTTTGGAGG